GGGTGTGTTTAAACTCCTTCACCAGCTGGGAATAAACCACCCTGTGGAGACTTCAGGAAGAGGGAGGAGAAGTAAACAACCAGCAGCACGTTGGAAACATGCAGAGATGTTCTGCAGATGGTGACCAAGGGTGGGTGAGGAGAGCATGTGACAGTTCTGGAGGCTCTGAGGTTGCAGAGGGACTCCTGAGCTGACAGCACCTTCTCCCAGTGTCTGTCACAGCTCCTCACACCTAGGCAAGCTACTGACCCTTCCAAATCATGGGATGATCCACGGGAGAAGGTGACTCATCTCCTTTGCTTAGAAGTAGCCACCGAGTCACATGGTAGCCAAAGAATTTCCACCACCTTGTGGTGAGGCTGCCAGCAGGAGGATCCAGGTCTCTCTGGGGCTCTGCTGTGCCTGGGACTGAGCTCCTTCCAGGGGCAGGTTTCTCCAAAGCCTAAAGTGTTTGCTTAAAAACAAAGGTGATTTACAGATTGTGGGGGATTTGGGGATTTTGGGGAGCCCAGAGGAGACTCTGGGTGTGTGTCAGCCCCTCTGGAGATAAATCTGTAGGCAAGCATCTCTTTTCTTTTATAACTATGAAGGAATTGGTTGTGAAATCAGTATATTTAGGAGTAATTTAAAAATATTGGCTTAAAAATAGAGCTCAGCTCTTCTGAAATGCAGTTGTCAAAACTGGAGGCAACACAGGGAAGGGGAAAAAAAAAAATCCCTTTTCACTTCAAAGGGCAGTAGCTGCAGATGGTTTTTAGCTGCTCAAAGCCCAGAACACCATGACACAACCCCAGGTATGAGCATCCAGCTCTTGGAGGGCCCTCTGTGAAATTCCTCTGAGAGGAGCTGACTCAGCCAAGGGCTTGGAGCTCTCAGGTGAGTCAAAAGTCATAAGACCCAAGATGTCTTCACGTATATCCACGCAGGTTGAGTGACTCCTTCCTTCCTCCTGGGCTGGGAGATCCAGACTTAAGACACCTTTGCTGTCCTTTAGATGTTTTTCCTTCTGCCAATGGGCCCAGTTGGATATTTCCTTTCCCTCCGGAGGTTTTTTCACCTCTTCTTTTGGATTCTGAAGAGAGAAAGAATCTGGGGAGAAAAAATCTCCCTAGGAATGGACAGTTCTGGACAGGCAGCAGCCCCCCAGGGGCTCCCTGGGAGTCCTGTGCCTACAGATGGAGGTAAGGAGCTGGAGATATGGTTTGGGCAGCTGCCTGTTGCTGTTGGGAGAGTCTAGGAGTTGTTTTTCAGCTGACATTCTCTCCTGTGGTGCCTGTCCCAGCAGTGAGAAACCCCTGCTTGGTTCCAGGTTTCCCTCGTGACCTCCTGCAGGGGGGGATAAGCTTTCAGTGTCCTGGTGTCTTGAGGAGGCAACAACTGGTGGTGAGCAGCACTCTGGGGGTGGCTGAGAGGGTTGGGAAGATGAGGAGCAAAGATTTACACAGAGAGTGGGGAGAGGGGAGGTCACCTCCCTCACGTGGGCTGGGATCTGCTGCTGCCCTGAACGTGAGGCACTGTTCTGATCAATTGGGAGGCTGCTGATTAATTGTGTGATTTATTTTTCCTGGGTCTGATGAGCTCTGCCAGTAAATATTGTTTGTCTCTGCAGGGTCTTTAGGCTGAGAGGAGCTCGGGGCTCTGATACAAGGGGTTGGGGAAGGACAAGAGGAAGCAGCCTCAGAGCTGGGGAAGGGTCTAGAGCTCAAGTGTGGTGAGGAGCAGCTGAGGGAGCTGGGGGTGCTGAGCCTGGAGCAAAGGAGGCTCAGGGGAGACCTTCTGGCTCTGCACAGCTCCTGACAGGAGCCTGGAGCCAGGGGGGGGGCGGGCTCTGCTCCCAAGGGACAAGACAAGAGGAAGTGGCTTCAAGTTGCCCCAGGGGAGGTTTCAGTTGTCCCTGAGGAACAATTTCTTGCCCTGGAGGGTTGCCCAGGGCTGTGCCAGGCTGCCCAGGGCAGTGGTGGAGTCCCCACCCCTGGAGGGGTTCCCAAGCCATGGAGATGTGGTGTGAGGGACACGGGGCAGTGGGGACCTGGCAGTGCTGGGGGAGGGTTGCACTTGATGATCTTCAAGGTCTCTTCCAACCAAGACAATTCCATGAATCTATGAGGGAGATGTTCCTGGGAACATTCTGACCCTCAAGAAGCCTCTTCAGATGTGTGGAGAGACACTGCTCCAGATGGATCTCACTGAATTCCCCATTCCAAATTTGGGGTTGTTTAGGTGGCAGCTCTGTTTTCTTGGTGGGGTTCCAGGTGCTGGTGAGCAAGACTCAGAGGATTAACATTATGTCATCAGAGAGCATCATGGGCTGCCAGGAGAACGTGACCTGTCCCAGGGGGCAGTGAAGTCACCCTTGTCCTCAGCCTGCTGTCCCTGCACAGCCCTGGCTGTTGAGGGAGCAGAGTGGAAGGAGCAGTTGTTTACAGGGGTTGTTGGAGGTACCTCCTGCTGAGCTGGGGTTTGGCTTTCTTCTGGGTTTTCTCCATGACCCCTTGGTCTGTGGGAAGCTGCTTCTGAGGATGAGGTGGGGAGGGGAGAAAGTTTTACACAGTCATATTCCAGTTTGTGCTGCTGAAGTGTGAGAAGAACATGCTAGAAAGAGGAGAAGTGGTGGCCTGGGGTGGGCAGTGCCACTGCCAGGCCTGGGCAGGGAGGGTGAGTCTCTCTGGAGGGAATATTCAGGGGGTTACCAAAGGGTCCCAAATTTTGTGACCCATCTGTAGCTGTTGGTGAATCTCTCTTTGAGTATGCACTTGAGTGGTCCCAGTGGAAGCTGTGGATGGGGTTGGGTGTTTGTGAGTCTGGTGTTGTGTCAGCTTTGGTGTGTTGAGCCTGGAGCAGAGGAGGCTCAGGGGAGACCTTCTGGCTCTGCACAGCTCCTGACAGGAGCCTGGAGCCAGGGGGGGGTTGGGCTTTTCTCTCAAGGAACAAGAGACAGGACAAGAGGGAAATGGCCTCAAGTTGCCCCAGGGGAGGTTTCAGTTGTCCCTGAGGAACAATTTCTTGCCCTGGAGGGTTGCCCAGGGCTGTGCCAGGCTGCCCAGGGCAGTGGTGGAGTCCCCACCCCTGGAGGAGTTCCCAAGCTGTGGAGATGTGGGGTGAGGGACAGGGGCTCGTGGTGCCTGGGCAGTGCTGAGTTTGTGGTTGACCTTGATGACCTTGAACATCTCTTCCAACCCAAAGGATCCTGTGATTCTCTGTGGCTAAGGATTCTTGCCTTTTTTTTCCCCCCTCTTTGACTTGAGTGTCTCCTTCAGGCTCTGAGGCTGTTGCTCTGGAGGACGAGGAGCTGGACGGCGAGCTGATGAATGAGGAGATCCGTATCCATAGCTGGCCTTGCTCCTACTACTTGGACACCAACAAGCAATGGGTCTCTGGCAGACTCTCCCTGACCCCCATTGCCATCAAATTTACAGCTGACAAGACTGGGGAGGTTTTGGTCAACTTCCATCTTTCAAGCATCAGTGAGATCAAGAAGGAATCATCGAATTTAATCTTCAGCTCCCTCACCATCTTAGAGAAGAACACCAAGCACTGGTTCAGCTCTCTGCAACCCAACAGAAATGTGGTCTTCAACATCTTGGAGCACTTCTGGAGGGAGCAGCTGTTGTCCAGCCAAGGTGCAGGGGCTGGAGCAGCAGCAGCTTCCACGAAGGGCAGGGAACTGACTGGGCTGTTGAGTGGCTCTCAGAAGCGGCTGGAGGACACGGCGAAGGTCCTGCACCACCAGGGAGAGCAGTTTGACAACATCATGAAGGGGCTCAACAAGATTGAAGGGGACATGGATGTGGCAGACAGGTAGGAGGTGGTCATAGAATCCTGTCTGGGCTGGGAGGGACCTCCAAAGGGCATCCAGTCCAACCCCCCTGCCACAAGCAGGGACAGCTCTAGCTAGGTCAAGCTACTCAGAGCTTCATCCAGCCTGATCTTGAATGTCCCCAGGGATGGGGCCTCCACCACCTCTCTGGGCAACCTATTCCAGGGATCTATCACCCTCAGATTGAACTTTTTCCTAATGTCTAACCTAAATCTGCCCTTTTCTAGCTTCAAGCCATCACCTCTGAAGGTTCAAGCCTGTGATGGTCTTTTGTGGAGCTAGCTCTTGTTATGAGGAGGTTCTGTAATTCTCTCCTCCCTTCTGTGTGATGTTTTCTCACCCTGGGGAGGTTTTGTTGGCTATAGAGACCTGTCCTCTGGTCTTCAAATAACTTCTCCCACCCTTACAAGTGTCAACCACCACTGGCAGAAGTGGTAGAGATCCCCAAAATATTCCCAGCCTCTAAGTTTGGAGGGAATAGGGAACTAGTAAAGGGAAAGTGAGGACAATTAAAGTCCCCACTGAAGGGCAGTGTTCACACTTGGATTTCTTTCCACCCTTTCCTCTTGTTATCTGGAGAGAGCTGCCAGTTGATCTTAGTTCTTGTGGTTTTTCTTCCTTTCTCTGTGTGGGAAATTGAGCTCCTCAGGCTGCTTTTGCCATAGCCAGTGTGGACCACTGAGGGCTCCCATTCCTCTTTCCTTCCCAAGATCCTTCTGGGCAGCCAGAGCAGGGAGGATTTGCTCAGTGACAGGCACCAGGGACATGGGAGCAGTGCTGTAAAGGTGCCTTTAACACAGAGTGCTCCCTGCTTTTAGGTCTAGGTGGGTTTTGGGGTGAAAACAAGCAGTGTTGAGCACTGATGAACTGCTGAGCTTTGTCTGCATCTCATCCCACCCCTGCTCCAGCAGCTCACCCACAGCAGGGGGCCCAGGGTCACATCCAGGGGGTTTTGGGATCTCTCCAGAGCAGGAGACTCCACAGCCTCTCTGGGCAGCTGCTCCAGGGCTCCAGAAACCTCATAGGAAAGAATTTTCTCCTTCTGCTCAGGTGGCACCTCCTGGGTTCCAGTTTGGGCCCCTTGTCCTGTCACTGGCACCACTGAGCAGAGTCTGGCCCCAGCCTCTTGCCCCCCGGGGCCCTTTAGCTCTTGCTCAGCACTGCTCAGATCCCCTCTGAGGCTTCTCCTCTCCAGCTCAGCAGCCCCAGGGCTCTCAGCCTGGCCTGGCACAGAGACTCAGAGAGTTCTGGACTATTTGAGGCTTGCCCAGGGCTGTGCCAGGCTGCCCAGGGCAGTGGTGGAGTCCCCACCCCTGGAGGGGTTCCCAAGCCTTGGAGATGTGGTGTGAGGGATGTGGGTTAGGGGTGCCCTGGCAGTGCTGGGTCACAGCTGGACTCCAGGAGCTGAAAGATCTCTTCCAACCCAAACATTTCCATGATTCTCCTCTTTTAATGATTACCATTCAAAGCAAGTTGTTCCTTGCTGCTTCCTGTGCTGCAGGTTGACAGGAACAGCAGCCAAACAGCCAGAGTTAGAGCAGTGCTGTCACATTGAAGGACACAACCTCCTCTGAGTGTCTTCTTAGAAGCCCCAACACCTGCATGAAGAAACAAACACCATAAAATCCCAAGCAGCTGTTTTTTTTTTGGAAGAAGCAGCTGGTGGTAGATGGGTATCAGGTCTAAAAGTGTTGATTTCACAATGGTTGTGGGGATCCTCTCCCTACCCTTTGATGGAAAGCCAAGAGAACTGAAAACTTCAGCAATAGCTTTTAACCTTCTGTAGCAACAAAAAACTGGGTAGGGAAATAAAACCCCTACTCCTGGGGTTTGTTTTGGGTTAGGGTGCACTGGGAGGGGTTATTTGTCCTCAGGAATTTGAAGAGCTGGGTGGAGAAAGGAAGGAAAGCACCAACCAAGTGTCAGGTGAGATCCTGTTTTATCTCCAGTGTGAAGAATTTGGCCAGTTGGCTCCCAGGCCCAGAAGCCATTGGGGAAGCTGGTTTGAATTTGGGGCTTTTTTGGAGGAGTTATGACATTTTTTATCCAGGGGGCAGCTCTGGTGTGCCAAATTTTGTGCCTGCTAGTTGAAGGAGCATTTCCTAGCAGATGATTTTTCTCTAAATGGGTCTTTTTTGTTGCAGAATTTTGAGGGCTGCTAAACAAAAGGACATTCACTTGGAGTTTCCTCTTCCAGATGACATTTCTGGAGCAAACTTAAGAGGCAGTTCAATGCAGGGGGCTCTCCAAAAGGACAACAGGGCAGCAGTGCTTTGTGCTTTGGTGTGAGAAAGCTCAATCTCTAGGATTTAAGTCAAGAAATCATCTTTTGTGGCATCAGGAAGATGAAAAGTGTTTCATTAAAAGATTTTTATCAGTGACTGAGGGATGGGCTGACAAAAATCTTCTTTGAGAACATCCTGAGCAGTGGCCTGCAGGCTGGTTGGGGTTTCTGGGAGGCTTCCAGGCAGCTCAGTGCTGGTTTTGGGTTTGTTTGAGCAGGGGATGGATCCCAGAGGGTTGATTGGGCTCTTCCCATCCCTGCCTGCAGCTGGAGAGGAGCCACAGGGGCTGGGGTGTGGTGTGGGTACCAGAGGGTGCTGGGGGGGAGAGAGGAGGTGGCTGCCTGCACAGGGGAAGGCAGAGGGGGGTAGGAAGCTGCTTTTGGATCTGCAGGGAGGTGGAATCATAGAATTGTTTGGTTGGAAGAGACCTTTCAGCTCCTGGAGTCCAGCTGTGACCCAGCACTGCCAGGGCACCCCTAACCCACATCCCTCACACCACATCTCCAAGGCTTGGGAACCCCTCCAGGGGTGGGGACTCCACCACTGCCCTGGGCAGCCTGGCACAGCCCTGGGCAACCCTCCAGGGCAAGAAATTG